TTATTAATTATAATATTCTCAAAATAATGATTATTTTTCTTTAATTAAAATAATGCACAAGCAATTTTAGTATAATAGATTTTAAAATTTCTAAATCCTATTGAGTTATTTACTAATTAGTAATGTATAAGTAGCATATCTAATAATAATAAATTTTGAAAAAGATAAAATGGTAAATTCTTATATATCTTAAAAAAAAGTTTATTACATTTCTGCAATATTCATATTATTTTTTACAGAATCTATAAATTGATATTATAGAGAATACTCATGTGATCAGTATCTCTTCAATTTCTGTAAGTTCTTGAAGCTCTTTAAGCATTTCACTTAGATCTATGTTATTCTCTGATAAAAATTTTTTTGGAGATTTATTCTCACTATAACAGTAATGACATTTTGTTTTTATAATCACTATAGAAGAAAACCTTTTATTATATATTGGATAATAAAAATGTTTTAGTTTATCTATTTTATTATAGAAGATCTTTATCAGATTGATTAATATAGAAGCTGAAAACGCTTCATATATATTTTCATAACTTCAGTCTTTTTGATTTAAATTCATGATTTGATCTTTATTATTCAAATTGCTATAATAATTTAGTATAAACCTGCTGCAGTTTTATAGCTTAAATAGTTTACTTGCTGAATAGTTATCTACTAAGCACTTTTATATTACTAATTGATTTCTAAAGCTAATTTTATTTTTTACGTTTATGATTATGTATATGATATATATCACATTCTTTAGCAGTTTCTTTATTATTATGCTTATGTGACTTGTAATACTATTATGTATTATTACATTATTACAATATGTCAATCATAAACTAATTTTATAATTTTATTAATTTTTTTTATTATTACAATTATTTTTACAATTTTATTATTACAAATAAAATATATAATACAATTAATTAATATTTATTAAGAATTAAAATGGTCAAAATTGTCCAATAATTTGATTAAATAGTATATATCTTAATTAATAAATATTTTGTTATTTTATTTACTAATTGTAAAATTCTTAAAATACATATATAAATTTCACTTCAGACTCATAACAGTTTCTGTTTACTAGTATTTATTTAGATTATAAAGTGGTTTTACATTATAAAATAGTAATCAGATTATATTTGTGTTATTCAAATTATAAAATGATATTTGTATTATGAAGTAGTAATCAAATTGTATTATTTAAACTATATTATGATATTTAGATTATGAAGTAGTAGTTATAATCTAATTTAAGTGATATACCATTTTTTAATCTAATTAGATTAAAAAATGATATTACTTCATATTATAAATAACTATTAGTTATAAAATTATTCTTAGAATTCTTAGACCTAAAAATCATATTTGATATATAAAAGGTAAATTGATTTTTTTCTGACAGTTATCTAACTTTCTATTGTAAAGGTTTCATATATACTATAACATTTTTATTTAGTTATCCTATTTAAATATAAGGTATACATTTATAAAATTTATATTATTTGTTTAATATACCTGAAATTTTCTAACTATATTAATTCTTTCTTCATATAATAAGTTATTGTTAATTTTTGTATTAAATTAATAGTAATTCACATTATTTTTATAAAGTTTCTGTTGTTAATGTTAAATATAGCTTTTCTAGTCATAAACCTATTTTTATCAGATAGATGGATGACTTAAAAAGCAAGCATTTAATTGCATACATTAATTTAAATTGTAATATTGATTACGATTTATTAATTAATATTTTTTTGGAACCTATTGTGAAAACCTTCAAATAAGATAATAGCAACATACAGTATGATACAATAACGTTTATTATTCAAGGATTAAAAACTTATATAAACGACAAATAATGTCTTCTTCATGTAAAATTAATTACGAAAGGGATGACAAGATGGTCACTTTTATTCTTTATCAAATATTTTTCATAGAACAAACTCGATCTAAAACCGGCAAAATTTTTTTGTATACTTTTATATAATCAAAAAAAAAAAGTTAGTCTAACTTTAATTAATTATATTCTCATTTAAATATATTGTAATAAATTGTATTTTCATCGCAAAGCATATTACATTTTTTTTTTTTCATGGTTTGTTAACTATATATATCGTATGATTTTATTTCAAGACGAAATGTCTAGCAAGGAACGAATCAAAACAACAAAACAATTATTATTGCTGACTAGAGATTGCTAGTTATTTTGTTCTTCGAAAGAAATTTTAGCAATTAAACATATTAAATAAATGTAAAATGCTTTTTTTCTTGGCCATAATGATGACCAAGTTCCTTTCGATTATATTAGTCTTTTCCAACAATATAATAGGAAAATTAGATTTGAAAATAAAGTTATACTTTTTTTTTTTTTTTTTTTATTATTATTACATTAAGAATAAGTTCACACCTATACCTCAGTATCATTATTATCATTATTCACGTCCTCTTCTTCAGACCCAAAAAAGTCATCATCAAATGATTTATTAGTTTTACTCGTATTACTCTCTACTGCCACCTTACCTTTTAAATTATTTTTTCGTTTTTCAATATTATCCATTTTCTTAATAACTTGTAATTTATTCTCGTTTCTAAATCGGTTATTTAAAGATTCTAAATCGTTATTTTGTACAGCCTCTTTTATTACTTGTCTAATTTCATTTCTTTTTGAAACCATTTCTTCATCATCTCCTCCATTTGATGGATGAAGTGCCAAATATTTTCGATGCTTTGGATAATACTATCAATAATTGTTTTTTTAAAAAATGAATTAAGATTTGTAAAAATAAGAATAATTTTGATAAAAAGGTAGAACTTACTAGGATGTAATTGAGATCTATTTGTAATTCATATAAAATATTTTCAACATTTGCTTTTTCTTGTAATGACTGTACTTCACTTAATTTTTTTTGGGTTTGTTTAATTGCTCTCTCAACCTTTCTTCGATCTATTTTCAAATTAGTCACATTATTTTTGATACGAAGTTCAAAGATGATCCTAAATAAACAGAAAATCTTACCGAAATGTTTAACCATTCGATACTTTGCAGCCATGTCTTTCTCTTTATTTTCTGCCATTCTCTCAATTAGCGTCAACTTACACGCTTTCAATTGTCTTTCCAGACTCACTTGTCCTTTAGCTGAAAGTTTTTCATTCTATAACGAATAAAGAATAAAACCAGTAAATAATTTTTAGCATAGAATTCTAAACCTTTAAAATACGTACAGGGTAATCACACTACAAATTTTATACGCAACCGTTTTCAAATATCGTTCTATATCTCTCAATTTCTTTTTAAGTGCTGTTACACTCATTGTATCTAAAGACATTATTTCACTTTTTTTGCTATTATTCTTACGAACCAGTGCCATCTTAAAAAAAAGAGAGAAATAAAGAAATTAAAAGATGGGAGAAGTTTGGTGATACATATTGTGTCATGCGGTGTAACGATGATTCAATTTTTTTTTTCTTGTAAAATAAAACGAGATGAGATTTCGCGTTTGTATTCAAAAGTTTACTTGCATGCTTTGACTTTTTGATAAAGAAAGATATTTTTCTGGAAATTCGCTTTAAAGTAGTGTTGGCCTTTTTCCGTTTGGCCGAGGTTTGGCCAATTTGGACGGCCAAAATGACAAAAAAAATCTTGCCCGCGGCCAAATGCCAATCAAATTCTAATAAGTATTAATACATTTATTAATACCTAGTTATTTTGACTGTTTTGCCATTTTGGCCATTGGCCACGGCCAAAATGGCCAAAATTTCTTGGCCGTGGCCAAATGCCAACACTGCTTTAAAGCGAACCAAACCACCAAAATGTTTATTATTTTCAATTAGGTTTTGACACGTGTAATTTAACGTAGATTTTCGCAAAAGAAACGCAGCATCAAATTATTTCAATGCCTCGCTAAAATTATCAATTGGATACGATTCAAACGATAAAAAAAAAAAAAAATGTTTTATTCTGCAAATTTAAACGACTCCCTTTTCGATCACTCCAAGCTGTTTGATAAACATCACGATTGGTACTCTCGCCACGTAATATAAATTATTGATTTCGAGCTCTGCAAACTACTTGAAAATGAATGTGTAACAAGTACCAGGGGAAGAAGTATATGTTAAATTAACCTTCAGATTTGATAATTATACCAATTGATGAGTTAGAATATTTGCGTGTATCATGTAGAAATGGTAGAATTCTCTTATCTATTATTAATAAGAATAAGATGAAAAACCTACCTTTAGAGTTCTGATAGAAAAATTCAAAAAAATAAATAAATGCTATTGATATTTAAATATTACAAAGATTTTGTAAATATTAATCAAAAGAAATTTTAGTTTCTGCCTTTTACGCGGGCTAAATTTAAATTATTTATACAGGCACTCTAAAGGTCAAACGGTTACACAAATATTTTTTTATTATATGATTTATAATTTATAAAACTCGCAAAAAAAGACTTTATACTTGTGTAAAACACCTGCGGATAACCTGCGGATTGTCTGTTTTAAAAAAAAAGTTCTTTCATTAAAGAAACAAAGGAAAATTTTTATTACTACAGGAATAACACAGGTAACTACAGAAAAGATTAGAAAGATAGAGCATTGAACAGTTTATTGCATCCGAAATTTAACATTGTGCACAATGAGCAAAAAATCCAAAGTCATGGGTCAAGGGTAATCTTTTTTTGATATTGATACTTTTTTGAGGAGTGATTATCATAAGCCTTCAATTTCTTAATATGGCATAATAGAATTTTTTTTTGTTTGACGTGAATTCCTAATTCTAAAAACTTTCACGATATTTTCACAGTCTTAATTTTGCTTTATATTGTTCCGTAAATCTTCTCTTAAATATCTGAATCATCAGTTCTGTTTCCTCCCCCCTTACCCCACTTTCTTATACAGTTCTTCCCCACAAACCCCACTTTACAGTGTCCTTTGATTTTATCTTTAAATTCTCCTTTTTTTGCAATTTTTCTCCTTAAATACATATTTTTTTTTTCTAACTTATGTCTCCAATTTTTGATAATCCTTTCAGAAATCCGTCTTCAAAATATCTTATGCCCTTTATGCGTTTCCTAAGTTTACCAACAAAAACTTCTGCTACTTCTCCTACAACAGTTGGTGGAAAGGCACCAACTAAAGCGACCGATTGTATCTATGCAAAGTTACTTGTAAGACTTACTCAAGAATTTAATGACGACCTACTTGGATTATTTGCCTATGGTTCCAGGATTTATGGAAATGCTTGCCCTCATAGGTAAAAGTTAAACACTTTTTATTTCTTCAAAAAAAAATCATTTTATTTTGTATTTATTCCTTGAGCAGAAGTTAATACGAAATAAATAAAGATTTTTTTTTTTGATTTAATTTTAATAATTCAATTAATCTTTATTTTTTTTTTTTTTTCCTTTCAATTAATTTATTATAGCGATGTGGATGTTGACGTTCTTATCAAATCTCAAAGAAAATGTCGACGGAATGTCGTTATCGACGGTTTGGAGGTAATTCTTAAAACATTTGATACTTTTTTTCGATTCTTGATCAATAAATTCATATTTCTTTATATTTTCAAACTTTAAAAGGTTGAAATGTTTATTCACCCACCCGAACACGTTTGTCACATTTTGACACATGACCCATATGGTATTATTTTACGATGTTATACGTTTGGCCGTATCATTTATGACCCAAACAACATACTACCACAATTACAAAAATTGGCTAAACTTCGCTGGGAGGCGGGTCCCCCAACACTTGAACCAAAGGATAGTTGGCGACCACGTTATGAAATCGCTGATTTATTGCGTGATTTAGAAGATAGTGACTTTGTACGTGATGAAGCCACCGCACATTTTTTGTTGGTAAAATTAGTTGAAAGGTTGGCACGCATTCAAGAACGTTTATGTCGTCGTTGGCCCGAAAAATTGAAACGTTGTATTGAAGGTTGGGAAAGTTGGGACTCGGTCGGAGGAAGATTGGCTAAGCGATCACTGAATTCTAATGTCAAATGGGCTGAAAGATTAAGATGTGCTAGGGATTTGGCAAAATATGTTCTTGAGCCAATTGGAGGTGTCATGCCAATTGAATGGAAGATGGATTGGGAGGAAATACCTCCTGCAGAAGAATCATTTAGAAAGTTAATAATACCAAAAATAGAGGTTTTCATATCTTCATAAAAAAGGACAAGGAAAGGATAATAGTAAAGTAATTACAAATTTTTAATTTGGAATTTCTCACTTTATATATTTATTATATTTATTATTATTTTCTCCCTGAATATAGATTTTAATGATTTATTTATTAATTAATAGTCTTCACAAATTTTTTTTTTTTCATCTTCCAATATTTCTCCCATTCAATTTTTTTTTTCATTCAAAGTTATATAGAACAATTTTTTATTTTGTATAGAATATAATTGATTCTTTGTTCTGCATACCATTATTTGTAAATTTCGAAACCATTACAC